ATGTGCATATGTATATATACATATATATATATATATAAATATATATACATACATATATATATATATATGTGTGTGTGTGTTTGTCTTTCTGTATACGTATAGACCCATTGATATATCATTATTAGCTTTAATTGGATCTGGTTATGTGTGTATATTCATAATTTAGGCTATATATATATATATATATATATATATATGCTCTTCGCAAACTCATTTGGAGGTTTATTATTCCCTATTGGTTAGTGATGTTGTTTTTCATCTACATTGCTTACGATGGCGATGTAAGACGTAGTATCATGGTGTTACATCCATAGTACACCTTTTTCTATTGCTGAAGATCCTTGTAATATTTGTATGTGTAGGTATGGAACGTATTTTTCCTGGGTTGGCAAAGAACACATCACTTCGTATCCTCGATTTGGAGAATAAAGGTCTGGGAGATAGAGGCATGGAACACCTGGCCAGATTATTCGAGTCAACAGCGGACATACAGGTGAGTAGCCCTCATTCTCCACTGCCCACTTACTGCAAAAGCTCACCCTAAAATTCAATAGACCTTTGTTCTACTTTGTTTTGGACTTTTCTTCTCTCCTGCTCGTCTGCCATCTACGCTCTGGTATCAGTCCGCGGTGGATGTCACAGAATATCAACACCTGCCGCTTGTTAGATGAATGGGGATTGCTTATAGATGTATCCACCAATCGAACCTCACCTTATTGTACTCACATAGCATTCTTGTTGTGAATACGTTGACCTTCAGATCGAGAGCATGAAACTGGGCTGTAACGGATTCACGGATATTGGTGCTAGTGCGCTGCTGAAGGCGCTGTCCTCCAACACATCAATCACATCGATTGACATGCACGGCAATGCCTTTGGTTCTGCAGGTAGTGTGGGCGTATCTCGCTTCATTCTGTGTTGGAAAGGTGATTACGATGGTCTGAGGCATGATATGTCTGAGTTGTATTCACAGCGTTAAAGCGTTTGTTACGCATTATAACACAACGTTTTGTAACAGAGAGAGCCTCTCGGCTTACCCAATCCCATTGCTGTATGTTTGCGTATATCCCAGAGCATTCTCCAGTACACGTCACGTCTAAACCCAACCCGTATTGCTCTTAGATACTGGTGCGGCTCTGGGAGCGTGGCTAGCTTTTAAGGAGTGTGCGCTGCAAAGCTTAAACCTCAGTACCACAGAAGGCCTTAGCGAGGACTTTGTCGTCAAGGTTGCGCAGGAAGGTCTGGCCAGGAACACGTCTTTGACCAGGCTGAATCTGAACGAGTGCGCTGTGGGCGATGCGGGTGTGACTGCCCTGGCCGAGGCACTGGCTGATAATAAGGTAATGGCGTTGGAGCAAATGGCTTTTTGTGGAGTGTTCTGTGTGGGGTGTGTATTGGTACTCTCCGTGACGTTCGCATTACTTCGACACTGTGGCGTCTGGCCAATTATGCACCGACAACAGTGTTGAATATGGGTGGTGCGGCCGTGACTGTCCTGGCTGAGTCTGTGGCAGTGTAAAAAGCTATATTGTAAGTACACGTGTGTGGCATTGAGGATGTTATTATGTGTGCATATACTGCTGTCCGTGCGTTTAATAGTATGTCTTGCGCTGTGTCCTATAGCAAACTGTACATCGACTTTGAATACCAACAAGTGCGCTATGAAATTTGGGTCTGATTGCACTGATGACGGTACTGATATACAGTAAGTGTTGCTGAACCATGTGGTCTATGAAATTAATGTTATGTATGTGTGTACTGTTTGTGCTTCCGCGAGGCTCGTAGAATATCTGACGCTCTGTCATACGGCAAACAGCACATCCATAATATCGTTGGAGAAAAAAAACGATGCGCTGTATGAGGATGTTGGTGTGTGTGTACTGGCTGCCACTCTGGCCAATGTCAAGCCGTTGTAATACAAACATGTGGATTTTTGTACCTGATATACCGTACATGTATATAATGTGTACATTGTGTTCATAGGTCATCAGTCACTGTCGTCTGGCAAATTAAAATATTGCTAACATCGATAAATCTCAACGAGTGCGCTGTGGGCGATGCGGGTGTGACTGCCTTCAAATTTGACTGTTGTTGAGATATTCGCGAAGAACATGTGAATCTTTTAGGTCTTTGAGGATGGTTTTGTGTATGTGTGTAGCCTGTCTGTGCTCGCTGTGTTATTCATTGTAAAAACGACACTAAGTCGTGTGTCGTCGCATACTATATTGCGGACTATGACTGCCAATGCCGTGTGCACCTCTGCTTACTTGCGCCCATATCTGTCCCCTCCTCAGTCCGTTTCCAGCTTATTTCTGGACGGGTGCAGTATCACCGCTGTGGGCGCCAGCCAATTACAGGCCTTGTTGACTGCCAACACGCAGATCAAGGAGTTGATTATCCGAAATAACGCTATCCATGAGGAAGGATTCAACGCTATCTGTATGTTCCAGTGTGCGACTATTGAGTGTATCTCGCAACATTTCACAATCGAGTCGTCGTACTATAGAAACTGGTTATCGGCCACTGGATAGGGCACTTCGGCTTTGGAGCAAAAAAACACGCATTCGATGAGGATTTTAAAGTCTTGTGTTTTAACAGTGGTATGATTTGGAGGGGGCTGCACAATCCGATGACATTGCCCACCACAAATAACTAGAACGATCTGATATATGTTAGACAGGAGTAGGCTGTAGGCCAATGAAGTATTGTAACTCAACAGGCGGCCGCTCACAGTCCACTCTCCTAATGCTGCGTTGTGTTGCCGATATGATATCATTCTATTGGATGAAGCGTTGAAATTGTTTGTTAATTAACGCGGACGGACTTTTTTTTGTGAGTTAGCTTGCTACTGACAATGTCACGCCTACCACAGCATGTTGACAATGCGTCAGACCTCTTATGTGCTTATTGTATGTCTCCTGTCTCGCTCGCCACAGGATACGTGTGCATATATTCCATGTTAGGCATGGATGTAAACATAGCCTATATTCTATGTTGGGTATTTATGTCTACATAATGTAGACAACAAAAATACTACACCTGCTGTGAGCGACCTTCGGTTTATTCTTTTGGTATGATATCCCGTGCCACTGACAGGTTCGGCACTGCGAACAAACACGACGCTAGATGTGCTGGAATGCGGTGGCTGTGGAGTCTCCAGGGTTGCACAGATCGGCAGTGAGACGAGCATAACACACCTGGGATTATTCAATAATGGGTAAATATCCTTTCCATACCATTGCGGGCTCGTTTTCGAATTCCCCCCCCCCCCCACCACACACAAACACACGCATATGTATATATATATACTGTGTTTATTGATCGTATGCTGTATAATGCATCGATGTGTTGACTCGTTGTTGGTTGTCCATTGTTGTCATAACTCGTGCTATGACTTCGAAATCCAATTGTGACATGCGTAGCTTCGCCTTAGCGTTCGCGCCAGTGTGTGGGTGAGGGTGGTTATGAATTGGTGAGTTCGCGTCAGTATCCGTAGGCTAATGCACAATTTGAGTTTCGTCGTGTTGATCGACATACTCCTGATGACTCGGATGCTTGACGTGAGCATCCACCTCTTATGTTAAATCACGGTAACGACTCGACTCTATTGTCACTAGACCCATGCTACAGCTGCGTTGGCGTGCGTATGAAGTAACTATTTCTCTCGTTCCGTAAACAGATCTCGGACCCTCCATTTACATCCTTTTGTGGCTCTAAACCATATTTATTCAGTCAAGAAGATTCGTGGTCGCTCTTCCTTGATACAGTTTGTACCGCACCACGTCGGTCTGTGTACACTACATCTAAGAATACGACAAACACTATCATAGGCACGGGTATAAATTCACCGCGGTGTGTTAATTGCAGCTACTTCCGAATGCGCACTGTGAGCCGTGGTGCTAGCAACGGTTTGCTGCCGTAGTGTATCTGTTGACGTATGCCATGTGGCCTGTCAGAGAGATACGATCGTGCACCCGCTGCTTTGGGGCGCTAATCACTGACTTGAATTATTACTGTACGCGTCAACACAGCTTGGGCGATGCCGGTATAGCGTCTATTTTGTATGCTGTGGAGGCTAACAACAAGACATCCCTGAACAGCTTAGTATCGTTGGATGTCAGTGGCAATGAGATATCGGACGATGGCTTCAGATCCTTCTGTGAGCGGATAGGCGCCGACTTGGAGCTACTGCCAGCGCTCACAACTCTTGAGATCGGTACGAACCTTTAGATGCGACCTCAATCTGGGTATTCTTGTATATATATACATGTGTGTGTGTGTGTGTCTGTGTCTGTGTCTGTGTGTGTGTGTGTATGTGAATATATATATATATATAATAATATATATATATATAATAATATATATATATATATATATATATATATAGTGTGTGTGTGTGTGTGTGTGTGTGT